GAAACGGCCCTCGGAAGCCAGACATGGGAGGGAAGGGGCAACAATAGCGAGGAGGAGGAGGAGGAGGAGGAGGAGGAGGAGGAGGGGGATGCGGAGGAGGAGAAGGAGGAGGAGGAACGCCGAATTGCGCGTTTCCATCGAGCCACCAGAGGCTGCTCCCGTACCATGGAAGCCCGCCCCAGACACGCGAAGTGCCTCACTCCTGCCAGCCTTCCTAGAGGTCTCCTGGATGGGGTCGGAGTAGATGGGGTCGGAGGATCGTGCCGCATCGCCGATACATCGGCGATGCATCGGCGATGCATCATTGACGTCGGCGGGAGGCCTAGACTTCCGTGGGGTGGGCCTCCGCGTTGCTTCCGCCGGGCTCTGGCGGCATTCCGCCGCCGTCCGCCGGAGAAGAGAAACCAACGTTTCAGTCGGGCATGTCCCCGTAGAGGCCGATTTTCGAGGAAAGATTCAAAATAGCCTCAAAAAAACACAAATTTGTCAAAAATGCTCAAAAGAATAGTCCACCGACTATCTTTGGATATTCCTCCTGTAGAGGGACAGGCCCGACTGAAACCAGCGCTTCGATCCCTCGAGGGCGCAGCTCTCCCTGGGGAACGCCGCGAGCGGAGGCCCCCAGGGGCGCAGGCCGCGCCCCCAGCGAAACCGCCACTGGGGAGGAGGGGGAGGACGATCCCCCTAGAACGCCCCAAGCGCCCCCTGGGGAGGAGGGGGAGGGGGAGGAGGAGGAGGAGGAGGAGGAGGAGGAGGAGGAGGAGGAGGAGGAGGAGGAGTTATGCATCAACGGAGCAGGAGGAGGAGGAGGAGGAGGAGGAGGAGGAGGAGGAGAAGAAGGAGGAGGAGGAGAGGAGGAGGAGGAGGCGGAGGAGGAGGAGGAGGAGGGGATGAGGTGGAGGGGGAGGAGGAGGAGGAGGAGGAGGAGGAGGAGGAGGCGAGGAGGGAGGAGGAGGAGGAAGGAAGGAGGAGGAGGAGGAGAAGCAGTAGGAGGAGTGAGGAGGAGGAAGATAGAGAGGAGAAGGAGGAGGAGGAGGAGGGCGGAGGAAGGGGAGGAGGAGTAGGAGGAAGGAGGAGGAGAGAGGAGGAGGAGGGGAGGAGGAGGAGGAGGAGGCGCGAGGAGGAGGGGGAGGAGAGGAGGAGGAGGAGGAGGAGGAGGAGGAGGAGGAGGAGGAGGAGGAGGAAGGAGGAGGAGGAGGAGGAAGGAGGGGGAGGAGGATCCCCCCGGAACGCCCCAAGCGCCACCTGGACAGGAGGGGAGGAGGGAGAGGAGGATCCCCCCAGAACGCCCCAAGAGAGCGAATCTTCATGTCGGGCGATGACGGGCGCCATGGGGGGGGGGGGGGCGGAGGGGGGGTATGACGTAACGCCCCCCCCCCCTCCCCCCCGCCGCGTGGCTCCGGCACCGCGGCCGCGCCCGCGCGCACGACGCGACGAGCGACAAGCGACGACGACGACGACGACGACGACGACGACGACGACGACGACGACGACGACGACGACGCAAGCAGCATGTAATTAGGTGGCGATCAGCCACACTGCGCCTGTGTGTACACCATAACGCTCGCGTGCACCACAACGCGCGTGTACACCACAGCGCCTGCGTACATCGCAACAACCGTGTGCAACGCAGCGCCTGTGTACACTGCAGCGCTTGCGTACACTACAGCGCCGGTGTACATGTGCACACCGCAGCAAGCATGTACAACACAGCGCCTGTGTACACCACAATTCTTGCGTGCACCGCGGCGCCTGTGCACGCCACAGCGCCTGTCTACACCACAGCATCCGCGTGCACGCAACGCAATTGTACACCACAATGCCTGCGTGCATAGGACAGGTAGAAGGAGCCTGCACGTGAGGATCTACTGCGGAAGCGCCACGCCAGGAAAGTGCTGATAATCGAATGCGACATTTTTCCCTCTTCCCTTCTCCTCCACTTCCACCTCCACCTCCTCCTCCTCCTCCTCCTCCTCCTCCTCCTCCTCCTCCTCCTCCTCCTCCTCCTCCTCCTCATCCTCCTGTTATCTTCTTTTTCCTCCTCCTCCTCCTCCTCCTCCTCCTCCTCCTCCTCCTCCTCCTCCTCCTTACCCCCTGTCGTGCGGGTTGGCGCTGCAGCGCACGTGCGCAACTCAGCGTGCACCGTAGGATGGTCTACTGAATCGGCCCACTTGGTTCTCGGACGGCCAAATTAGCTGGAGTTTCCTGGACGCACATGGGAGGAGTTACGGTGATGCGGGCGGACTCGGAAGGACTCGTAGATTCCCCTGGCGCTCCCTTGTCCATAAGGAATTTGTTCAAGTGTGCAAACGCTCCATTTTGCCATAACGATCCTTCTAACATTCTACATACAACAGCGGTGCTGTGTTGCACACGGTTGCTGTGGTGCACACAAGCGCCGTGGTGCACACAGGCACTGCAATGCACGCAGGCATTGCGATGTACACTGCTGTGTTGCACACAGCGGATGTGGTGTACGAGGGCGCTGTGGTGTACACAAGAGCTGTTGTGCCCGCGCGCGCGGTGGCACAAACTGACGCTGTGTTGCACGCGGCTGTTGTGGTGTACACAGGCGGTGTGGTGTACACAGGCGCTGTGGTGCACGCAGGCACTGAGGTGTACACAGGCTTTGTGGTGCAGATCGCCACGTACATGCTGGTGCCAGGCGCCGCCGGCGCGAAGCGCGGCGTCATCGACCCCATCCACCCCCCCAGATGATTGCCGTCATCGGCCCGGAAAAAAAACAGGCTCCAGCCGCGTCCGCGCGCACGACGACGATGAGCGACGAGCGACGAGCCACGAGCGACGACGACAAGGACGACGACGACGACGACGACGTCGACGACGACGACGACGACGACGACGACGACGACGACGACTGCGGACCAGACTCCTATGCGGATTCCTACGCGGACACCTACGCGGATTCCAATGCTCACGGCGGCAGTGCCTGGAGCGCACTTGGGGGGGGAACGTTACGTCGTAGGGGGGGGGGCGGGGGCCATGACGCCGATCATGCCCCAAGCAATAAAGAAATGGTCTCCAAGCGCCCCCTGGGGAGGAGGGGGAGGGAGGAGGGGAGGGGGATCCCCAGAACGAGGAACGCCCCAAGAGGAGCCCCACTGGGGAGGAGGGGGAGGAGGGAGGAGGAGGAGGAGGGAGGAGGAGGAGGAGGAGGGAGGAGGAGTAGGAGGAGAGAGGAGGAGGAGGAGTGGGAGGAGGAGAGGGGGGGGATCCCCCCAGAACGCACCAAGCGCCCCCTGGGGAGGAGGGGGAGGAGGATGCCCCAGAACGCCCCATCCAGACCGCCCCAAACCCGCTGAGAAGCCCCTCCGATCCTCGATGCCCGGTACCGACTCGTGGCGCCCCCCGCACTGCCTGGCCTAAAACCCCGAGGTCGTGCTCTGCTCGCGACGTGGGCGGCATAGGCCCATGGCCTCCTC